TCCAAATTTACTTCAAAAATTATTAAAAACGAAAGCGAATAGGAGAGTCACAACTGGGAAGAAAAGGGTTGGATAAAGAATTCAGGCTTCATTTATTTTGTAAATGAACATGTATGCATACATTTAATTCAAGGAAAAGACGGAGTTGAATGAAGTGCAATGATGGAAAAATTAAATTTCACACATCCTTGCTCATTCATAAACAATAAAAAATAAAAAAATTCTTTTCCAAGGAAATTCGCGAATAAGTTTTATAGTCGTTCAACAATGGAATAAATTAATTCCCACAATTCATTCGCTTTTCTTATTTTTTCTTTCCTTCCTTCTTTCATCTTTTTCAAATTTACATTTTTTTTTTGTCCAATTTTCATCATCATTATGATTACTTTTTCGCTTACTTTTTTTGTTGCTTAATATCTTTTTTTCTTTCACTTATCTTTTTTTAGCACTATCTTTTTTTGCTTATTTAATATTCTGTAAACTATATGTGCAAATTTGGCATGAGTGCTGTCATAAAATCATATATATGAATTATGAAATAAAAATAAATTTAGAACTTTTACTATCGGTAGCACAAGCGGTTGGTTGATTGACGTCAATTCTCGTCTTTTATGGAGCTTATGATTTTAAAATCAATTTAACTTCGCAAACATAAAACTTTCAGATTTTTTGACGAAGTCCAATAAATCTATGTTTTAGATGGGTGATAAGTACGAGGATTTAGGACCAGCAAATGCTTTGCCACCACCGCCACCACAGCCACAGGTCATTCCAACTACGCCAGGTCAAGATCGCACAGAATTAAAATCTGCTCAAATAGGTTTGCTTTATGTCATCAAAGCAAATTTCTAATTTCAAAGCATATTTCGATTTAAATTAATTTATAAAAGATCTGTGCTAAACATAGAACATCTAAAATTTTTCTATAATAAAATAATTTTTGTATTTAAAGGAACAGAAGGAACAAAAAAGGTAACTTTTTGTAGTTTATTTGTTTTCTTTGCTGCTAATTTATTCAATACATTTTTTAAAATTTGTTCAAATTCTTGACGAGTTTTTATTCGATTTATTTTTCGCTGTCAAAAGCAAAAACTAGAGCTGACAGTGTAAAAAAGAGAAAATAATTTCTCTAATATTTTTCACTTTTATTGTCTAAAAATTTTTCTCACTTGCATTTTTTAAGTGTAACATATAATGATTAGTTTAATTTTTAAAAATTTTCCATTCCAAAAATATTGTCATTATTATTATTCAGGGAGACGAAGGTGATGAAAATGGTAAGTGCCATTTTTAATATAACATATGATGAAAGAGATCAAAATGATCAAACAAAAGATACATAAAATTGAAAACTTGAAAGTACTAATTTTAATTCGACGAATGAAATACGGAAATGAATTTACATTGCTATATCAAAATTCCAAAATGGCAAACTGCAAATACAGCCGAATTGTGTGAAAATTTTCTTTAGTTTATAATTTCAGATGGTAAATATACAACTGCGCAAAAGGTATGCATGGTGATATCAGGCATACTGGCAATGATCTTTCTGAAGACAGCAATTGCTGCAGTTGTTATTCTACTCACTGGCTTCAAAATTTTCCAATAGATTTCTTCATTTTAAAACTTTATTGTTTTAAAAGCTACGATCAATTTCTGAAAGTGTAAAAAACAGTTCTTCAGTTTTGTCACACCAAACGTATAAACATATACACGTATATACACCTGGCGTACATCATTTTCCATCGTTTTATGGAAAATTAAATTAGAAAGAATGATTCCATCTTTATTTTGAGGTTGATAAATTACCAAACTGAAAAAGTAATAATAAAAGTTGAGTATATAATTGATATATATTCATTCCTGCAATGTTCACATGTTGCCAATCCTTTTTTATTATGGAAGGAATTGAAAGAGAGTATTTCATTTTTTTTTAAATTTATTTATGCTAGAAGCTAAAGGGAATATTTTTAAATTGATTTGTTAAGTCATTAATGTAAATTTAAATTCTTGCAAAAATCAATATAATTCGATTTGCTATTTTCACTTTCTCGTTAGTAATACACAACTCAAAACATTTGTACTCCCAAAAATTGCAAACTATTTTTATGGTACATATATATCATTCAATTATTGTTCTGTATATATTTACCGAAAATTAATTAAGTCTTACAACTTCCTATTAACAATTCCTAATATCAATAAATTGTGTGCTAATTCTGCAATGAAGGTAGAGAACAAAAAGATGTGCCGCAAGACATAAAGTCTTCTTAGTTCATTATTAGGCACATAAACTATTTGACCTCGTCATCATCCCAATCATAAAATAATTTTTGTATATGATTATAACCTTGACTGTTATTGCAAACTCACTATGTGTACTGCACTCTAATAGCTTCATGCATTCTGTGAGAACGTTTCGACACATAAATAAAAGCTGTCTTTATCCATTTTGATTCAATTTATCCTTTGTTTATTTGCCCTTAACTTTTAGTATTTTCTTGGCTCAAGCAAATTATAAGGCCTACTTCTCAATGTTCAACTTCGAAATTCTGAAGCTACGGAAAGTACCAAATGTCTCCACCCAGTCTTCAATTTAAATATTCATTTTCAACGATAATTTTCGCATCCTATTGTCAAAATATTGCTCATATCAATATTTGATGTTCAATTGTAAACAACATTGGAAACCGACAAAATTAACAGCAAAAGAATGATACGGAAGTATAACCGCTGTAATTTTTTAAAATATAATTTAAAAGTATATTAATAATTCACGACAGTGATATCGCAATCTGCGAAAAATAAATTTATTTAAATTCACACATTTACGTAAATGCACAATACAAGAGTTTAATGAAGCACTTGTTTAAAAGTGAAAAAAACCGAACAAGATAGAAACACTGGTGAAGAACGATATGCGTGTGATGAATGAGCATGAAAATATATTTATTTAAATAATATTTTAATTAAACATTGCTTATGACGTATCTGGAAAGATTACTTATTTGTCATTTCCAAATGCATGATCACGTTTGAATCACTTTATCATATTTTTAATAATTTTAACAATTAATTTAATGGTCACCTTGCAGTTAACAAACTGTAATTTCCGACCTAACCGAAATTATATAGGAATAAGACAACAGTAGATATAGCAAAATTCAGCACATGAAGATAAGGTAAGCTCGTATGAAATAAATTATAAGAGAGATAAAAATTTCAAATCTTTTTGGTATTTCAAAAAATAGTCATACGAAAACAATGGTAATCAGAGATCTTGAAATGATTAATCACAGCATTCATCGGGATCTTTCAAGTCAACATTAATCCGCTCGCAGCACTGTTTACATCACTCTATAAAAAATTTTGATGCAACAATCAAACTAATTCATCGAATTCACCGATCAATTGGAGTATAATGATTCAAATAACTTAAGATTTGCCAATAATATATTTTCTAGATTAAAAGCGCTCGCCGCTAGACTGACTTAATAATAATTTCATAACTGTATCAAGAGCGAAATATTGGCATTATTCTTTCAACGAACAGATTCTCCTAACCATTTAATTTCATTCTTAAATTTCACTTTATTGCTTCGCTCATATCGATAAAACAAATAAAATATGTGGTGATAGTAAACATTAACATTTTCTAATAAGTTTAATTTAATTTGAATCATTTTGCGTACTTTTCATGTTACTCAATCGACGAAATCGCTCCATCAAGCGACGAGCACTTTCTTCAGCTCCTAGTTTCACATGCCTTTGACGGAAACGGAAATCATCAGCTGCCTAAAAAATAAATGAGTTTTTTCTGCAAAGGAATTTTGTTCAGTTGACCGATATTTAAATTTCTGACGACGGATTTGTAGAAAAATAAAAATAACCTGAATAACACGCAAACGCTGACGATAGTTTTTTGCTCGAACATGATCATTGAGAACCTGAAGAATTTTTTTGCACCAAGATTTTAAACATGAAAGACAAGAATGGCAAACGAAATAAAGAAAAGCACACGCCATGTTATTTAGTGATTTAAAAAAATTTTTAATTCCTTCAAATCGCAAAACGACAAACTTTTTATTATATATTGATGGACTTCTCTGATAATCGTCAGAAAGAGTCATCTTATATTTTTCAAATATAGAATGACTCTTTTTTCACTTTTTTTTTGTTTTTTCAAAGAATGTCACTCCCAATATTTCAAAACTAACAAACAAAAGCTACCTGTTGAACATAGGAAGATGGAAACCAGCCACTATACCAATCATGAACTTTTTGTCCATAAAACCACCCTGAAATAATAGTATTGTTACTTTCATTTCTTTCATATTCAGGAATTGCCGACGAATATTAAACTATCTACTAATTAAATTAAATCAAATCAAATTAAATAAAACAACCATCTGGCATTTTCCGCAGTATATTGATTAAATCGCCTTTCTCCAACGGCAACTCATCTTCCTGACTAGGAGAATACCGATGTACGGCGACAGCTTGCGGGCAATCCCAATCAGCATAGATTTTTTCTTCCGGATTAGTACACTAAAATTAAGTCAATTTCAGTGACGAAACAGAATTCTTTAATCTATCACCCAATTTTCAAGAAAATATGAAGTAAATGAAACTATACGGCAGGTGGTCTTAATGCTGATAGCCATCGTTCTCGGTCAGTTTCTGAATCGGCATTCAGAAGAAGTTCCACTTGTTTCCCTATAGCATTATGCATTAGCGTACAAATGAAAAGATGCGGCTTTTTCAGCGGAATGTGCGCTGTTACCGATTGCAACAACTGAAAGAGTACTTTAACATCGAATTTCAGCTTTGAATTTTCAAATTTTATGCAGTAAAAAAGTTTTGAAGGAGTTAAGCAAAAAATATGAATCGACGAACCAAAATTAATTTATTTAAATTACTTCAACAAAATTTTTACATTATTTCAATAAAACTCCCACTCATCAACTTTCCCAGAAATTTCAATTAATGAAGTGTAAATGAATTCCCATTTTGCATTTCTCAATCTGATACTGATGCAATATGGCCTTTTTTCTGATGAAAGAAAGCATTAAGTTTACCACAGATAATACAAAAATTTTTTAATTACTCAATGTAGATAAAGCCTAATATTTATGAAATTCAAAAAAAGAATAAAAATTTCTGTCGGCAAAACGAACTTTAGGATCATTAATTTCAACCGGTTCAATATCAACGAATCTTCTTGCGGAATAATCTTTGCATACATAAATTCCATTCCTGAAACAATGATTTTGATGTGATAATAAAAAAAATGTGTGTAATAAATTTAAAGTGATTGATTTCAATTTTAGTAAAACGAAAAACAAAGCTGTATTGTTATGGGAAATTTTTTGTTAATTTAATGTCAATAAATTAAGAAGCAACAAAAATATCATAGATTTTTCTTATGATATTTTATATTTTTGATATTTTTACAACATATAAAAATTTGGCAGTGTCTGAAATTATTATTTTCAAAAAATGAATTACAATAAAATGCGTACACTTTCTTTTTGGTCAACATGATAATATCATTAAAAAGGAAAATATATATGCTCTGGAACTGTTGACGAGTATTTAAGAGCTTCTTAGCACGTTTCTCATTCAAACACATAAGCGATCCACATTTAACTAAATAACGTCCCGATGAAACTAGAGGAATGCGTCTGAAATAAACTGAATATAAATAATTTCATTCAAACATTAAAAAGCTGTGAAATACAAATTGAATTCAAAAAGATATAAAAATAATTAATCATTATTGCCGATGACGAAATCGTTGAAAATACCTCAAATCAGATGATTTATAAACGAGACGACGTTCAATTTCTAGCAATTGTTCGGTACGTTCCATATGTCGAGCACCTTCATTGCAGCAAATGACGACCTAAAATTAGAAAAGAACTGAAAAACTTTATTTAAAAACGAGAAAAAAACTGAAAACTTCATTTGGTCTAATTTGTTTAAAATTACTTTTACTTTATTTAATAGCTTGCAAGCAGCCTTATTTAAGACTGGAACAGACTCATTATTAACTTTTAGATCCATGCTCCGAATTTGACGAGTTTATCAAACATTAAACACCAGACAGTTATTGAAAGTAAGTTCGTATCTTCAAATCAGTAAAATTTAAGCTGATTCTACCTATTCTTTTACCATTCTATCCTCATCATGTCATTCAAACAATAGTCATAAACTTTAATCACTTATTATAACATAACTGAGATCTTCTGAAAAAACAAGTTACCTTGCAAAAAACGATTAACTGATTATCTACCTCTATGGTAAAAAATACTAAAAATTGATTATCAAAATTTTACAGTTTACCAGAGAGTTTTGAATGCATTATTTCTCGATCTTAACCTTACCAAATCGATATTTTGCACGGTTCAAAGCAGGAAAAAACATACATGATTGGCGAGATGTAACGCAATTTGGGCAGTCTGATAGTTTGTTGCATCCTGCTGTGTGTGTTCGAGAATTGCAATCATCAGAAGTGGATAACGAGTAACTCTCTGCATGGGTAACATCAAAAATGAACGCATATCCAATCCTTGACATAAACGATCGCCTTCTAAACGCTGAATGCAAGCGAGAAATGAAGGATTTTCAGATCTGAAATTATAAAAATTAAGAATTTTCGAGGGAAAAAGCCATATCATCACTTTTCACTCTAACCCGATCCATAAAAGTAAAAATGAGATGATGAGATTACAACAGTAAATTTGATCGAAACATGATTCAGGTCACATATTTTACTTCTCTCCAAATCAACCATTAATATTTGCATAAAATAAGGAACTTGAGTTTCCGAAGCGTTCGATCTTGATAAACTTGATTGGAGCAATATTTAACATATGGATCGAAATTTGTTTCAAAATGATCACATAAAATATCACAAACATCGGACAGTACCAAACTTTCTTGTAATCTATTCTCCAAATCTGATAGCAATCTGAAAAAATTTGTAATTTACGACAAAAACAGTCAAACAAAAAGAGCAGTAACCGTTAACAAAAAAGATTTGAAATAGAGTCAAGCAGAATAACTTTTCAGGTAAAAATATAGAAGTTGTGGCATTGTTTGGATTAAACTTCATGAACGTTTTAATGCCTAATATAATTGCAAATTTTTACACAATTCGAGAACCTATATGGATACTTTTTTGCACGTGCAAATATTTTGTTCTAATATCTTAAATTAAAATTTACACGACATTAGTTGGTCAATTTAATTTTAAACTCTTCATTTCAAAAAATGAAACAAATAAATGAAATATTAGCAACAAGTCTCTGACTTTTCACTACAATCTCGAACAGCGAATACGTTGCTAAAAAGTTGCTTTCGTTCCTCATTTGTTATCACTGATGATGGTCTTTTGGAACCTGAAAATTTTATAAAATAAGTATTAAATTTTCTTTGCCAATTTTTTACAAAATAATTTCTAAGAATTAAAAAAGTTACCGAGCAATTCAGGAGCAGCCATGAAATGGGTAATCAGGATATTGATTGAACGAAGATAAGATGCTTCACTGGTGATAACTTCAAAATATGCTTCTTGCAGTTTCTTCGTATCTTCGTCTAACCTTTCCAATAAACCCGCATTTCTTACCTAGAACTAATTAAATATAACCCAAAGGAAAGTCCTGAATCAAAAATATAAAAAGTTTAAGGTAGTAAAAAGTTAAATTTTTTATAAATTATCACAGTTCATTGTGGTTCTGATGTTGAACTGGCGGTGGATGAGTGTAATTCTCAAAAAGTATTCAAAAAATATCCTGTCTTTCATCATATGCTTACTCTTCGTTGGAACAAGAACAGGAATGGTAGTTATAAATTTGATGAGTTTGATGTGATTAAGAAAAAACAGTTCAAATAAAAGATTGTCCTCTTCTGGAAAGGTAAATCTTTCACGATAAAATCAAATCAATTGAAAAAATCACTATGAATGCAACAATTTTGATCAAACATGAAAAGAGCCTGGAAAGTGAGTTTTTTGGAAAGTAAAAAAGCAACTCGCCTCTGGAAGTTCACACCACAGTGACCGTTGACTAGCAAAATGACTGCCTGCAACTAAACGATCACGTTTCATTGATACGTTAGGCGTAAGTTGTGACATAGTTGTAGAGCAATCTGCGCCACGTCCGCTATCCGTTGATGCAGTTGACGCAGCTCGCTGCATCTGAAATTCAACCTATCTTTTAGAAAATGAGTCATTTGAAACAAAATTTAATAAATTCTCAAGTACAGCTTTTCCTTGATTTTTTTATAACCTTGGAGATACTCCTTCCACTAAAACTCGGTTGGATTATCTCTTGCTCATCCGTTTCATAAATTAGCCGTCCATTCTGTTCCATCATGTAAATTTGATAAAGTGGTTGTGGATCCGGAATTATTCTGAAAGAAATCTATTTAATTTCCTGAATCATAGCTATCTACACTAGTGGATTTCGATTGTATAATTATAAAGAAAAAAGAGACAGAAAAGGAACCTTGCAGTATAAATTGATCGATCGATTTCTTTTAAAGTATAATCAGATGATGTGCTCGGTAGGCAATTATGCTCAGGTGATGGCGGAGTTGATGAAATCTACAACTTTTATACAAAATGATTGCTTCTCGACCTATCGATATGTTTTAAAAGTTCTCTTCTGAACGAATTCCAATCTAGTTTAATTCAAGTTAATTTTAAATTCATACCAATTTCTGAGCCTGATTTTTGACTGTACTACTATCACAACTCTTGTTCAGTATTTTTTTTAATTTTTAGATTAAAATTCTGGTGCAAAAAACTTACAATAGTTTCATAACCTTCTGTCGTTGACTTCGATCTATGACCTTTAGTTTGGCAACAAACTTTATAATTATTGTCATAACTGTAGCCTTTGACATGTCTGTAGTCATTTGATGTATTTTCTGTTCTGGCTGTCATCGAGGCACTGTCATACATTAATGGATCGGCGCTCATTGATCTTCTCTTT